GACAGATTGAATTTCTCCATTGTGGGACTATTAAAGGCCAAAAAAGTTTGTATTTACGTATTATATTGATGCCAAATTAATAAGAAGACTGTTGAGATATGATGAGATTTTTTTCTTCTTCTTCCCCGGTCCTATGTTCCCGCTTTGTATGGGACCGGGGACCCTAACCCTAACCTAACCTTAGTCTGGAACATAGGACCCGGGGAACATAGGACCCAGGGAACATAGGATGACCCCAATACAAGACTACAGAATCAAACATGGCAACTTTGATGGCATGCCACAGACACACCCTCAACGTACAATCGCAAATAGCACAGCGTTCAGTTAGTAACATTTTTTGACTGTACTGACCAAATTTGAAGTCAGTGCGATAAAATCTGTATAGGAGGAGGTAGTTAAAACAGAAGCCCTGAAATTCCTCAAATGGCATCAGTTTGACATTCGATTCAAAATGGCCAACTTTGACGACACGCACAGACACGCCCTTTGACGTACAGTCGCAAATAGCACGGGGTTCTTCAGCAACATTGTCTGACTGGTACTGACCAAATTTGAAGCAGAACCGACAAATTCCCTGGGGAGTAGTTCGTTCACAAACAACGGAAAAAAAGACCACAGAATTCAAAATGGCCAATTTTGACGCGCACGGCCACAGACACGGCCCTTCAACGTACAGTCGCAAATAGCACGGTGTTCAGTTAGCAACAGTTTTTGCATGTACTGACCAAATTTGAAGTCAGTGCGATAAAATCTGTAGGAGGAGTTAGTTAAAATAGAAGCCCTATTTCATCCAGGGCGCATGCGCAACGCAGGAGGTCGAAGAGCTGAGGGCTCCTGACGGCATTTCAAACAAATGGTTTAACTACGCTTAAAACCCATTAATTTCAATCTGTTTGAGAAATGAAACTTTGAGAAATTTATTTACAAATAAATTCTGACACCGGCACAGACCACTCTTGAGACCTTTTTGACGAGTGACTAGATCAAACCGGCAAGTGAACCGGAGGAAATCCAGCATGGGAGAACCGGGTAAGACAATCGAAATCAGGAGCAGCAGCTGCGAGGCAAACCACCACAAGTATGAATACTAGATGACGAGATGACGGCGAAATTGCGAAAAAATGAGGCACCTTACACTATACAGGTATCATAGTGCTAAGTGGACAAACTGCTCAGTTCGCAGAGCAGTGCCACAGCTAAACCAGCTTGCTAAATGTTCATTATGAGTTCATATCAACAATGTACCTATCCCTGTCTGACTGAAAATAACATGTTAATTTGATCTCATTAACATGTTACCTGTATACTAAATAGGTTCACTTTTTTCAGATTTAACTGAGGTTTATTTTGTTCTTCTGAACAGGCTTAAAGTCGAAACTGTGAAGGTATGACACAACAACTTTAAGCCTGTTCAGAAGAACAAAATAAACCTATGTTACCTGTAATTGATGTGATATCACATACATTGATATCTTTTAAAATATTATGTTTCAAATTAGCAAAGCAAGACAGGGCTAGGTGCATGTTTGTGGTTAAGGATAGTATAATGATAGTATAACTATCAGGTAAGTGATAAGGTAAGGTAAGTAACATTCATGTTAAGATAAGAGTTGCTCAGTTCTTGGAGCAGTGTATCCAGGGTCGAGGAAGGTTCTTCAAAATGTATTTAGCTTTAGGTTTACAAATCACGTGTCTGTTTACAATTGACATGACATACAATGGAATGTCATTACTTAAAATAACACAGATAACTACGTCTAAAAAATTCCACAACCCTGACTTTTTTGTACAATGAGTGTCCAAGATATTAGGTATATTTCAAGTTATGTCTGCAAATGTCATTGTAAACAACCTATAAGATTTTCATGGCAGAACATTAAAATGCCAGATGTACCACCTAATTCACTGCACACTCAGTGTATGTATATATATTTATTTAATCCATATGTTATGTATTTGTTATTAGCAACTGTGAAGTGTCAAGTGTGTAAAGTTTGATTATCTTTTCAGGTGGAGCAGTCACTTGAGCAGCCATACATAAGGGAGACACAGTGCAACTGCAAAGCTGGCTTGGGACAGTGCAACCATCTCATCAGGCTGCTCTATACTCTGGCTCACTTTGTCAAGATGGGCTACACGTCTGTCCCCCTAATGACTAGCAAGACGTCATTGCCTCAAGCCTGGCACATTCCATCAAGGGCCCTGGGTGTCAGTCCAAGAACGGTGAGCTCTGTAAGTGTTTCAAAGCTGAAACCACCAGTGAGCCTACACCGAAACCTGAGTGCAATACAGAGCAAGAGTCAGATGTTCAAGCTGCTGGAGGAGAACAGAAAGCAGCCTGCTGCTCTTGTCTCCACCGACTTTGGAGACCTTCCAAAGGGATCTGTGCTTACCTACCACACAGCACAGTCTACCAGGGCTGGTAATGATTCCCCGTTTCCTCTACCATCACAGCCATGCTCATTCAGCACAGTTCTGGATGACACTGAGGCGTGCTTCTATGGTGGCCTGACGGTCACTCAGGCTGTTGCAATACAGCTGGAGATCGACACTAGGGGACAGAGCCATAGTAAGTCCGAACCAACCGTCTTACCTCCTCTTCCTTCAAGAGGATTTGTTTAAGGGTGGCAGACTTAAAGGTTTTAGCTGACAATCTTAAAAAAAAGACAAAGGTGATGAAGCGAGGCCTGGAGCTGGAGCCTGTTGCTGCGGCCGACTATCAAGACCTCACCGGTTTTGAGATCTTCCCCTGTGGTTTTGTCATCAACCACCACACCACACACCTAGGTGCCTCACCTGACTGAAAGGTGATTGACCCCAGTGCCTCACCAACGCACGGCCTCCTCGAGATCAAGTGCCCCAACAAAGACAGCGTGAGGGATTGCAAGTACTTGCGCTGCAACACTGATGGTAGTCTCAGCCTCAAGACCACACATGAGTACTATTTTCAAGTGATGGGGCAGATGGGCATCACTGGGTTGAAGTGGTGTGACTTTTTTGTGAAATGCAAAGATGACCATCACTTGGAGCGGGTGCACTTCGAACCAAAGGAGTGGGAGAACATGAAATGTAAATTGGACACATTCTTTTTCACCCACTTTCTGCCTGCTGTGTGTAACAAAATCATGTAATACATCACTGATAATCTGTTTATGTATATAGTTCTCCTTTGTTAATGTTTTTTCATTGTTTGTTCCTAATGTAATTTCTAATGTTCTGGGGTCTCATTTATAAACTGTATGTGGGATCGTTACTAAAGTGTACGTGCCCAAAGCCAAGTTTTGCATGCGCCAAAAAATATTCCAGACTTATAAAACCTGCGTAGCACCCTGTAAGCAATCTTTGGCTTTTAATCACAAGGTGCCTGACAAATGTGGCGGCAGCTGCATCAGCTTCACGTTCGCCTTGTACACGCCCTTTTACCATAAATGGTCAATGCAAACGACCTCATAATGCGAATCTGCATATAAACAGACTCGATGGCAAGTATTTATGTCTGTCCGGGAACACTAGCAGAAGGACTGGAGAAAAGCAAAAAAGCGAATTTCACGGAGGTTGAGTGGAGACCTGTGGGTGAAGGTGTAGGCCGGAAAGTGTTTTGTTCGGGCGTACGGCTGGATCACTAGCAGAAAAGCAGAGTGAGGTGGCAACATGTTGCTGCAGCAGTAACTCTTTCAGTGGTACGGAGCGCACAGTTCCAAGGAATTAAAAAAAGTGGTTGGCACTGTTTAAATGTTCTTGAACATACCTTTTTATGCCTGTTTGTCATGAAGTCACAGGGACAGGCAATAATATAGATTGTGTGAGGAGTATGTGGCTTGGTTTTCCCTTGGATTTAATTGATTTGCTTAATGTGTTTCGGTCATAAACAATATATTTTTGGACAATGTTTGGACAGATCTTTCCATGCAGTCGCCGTCTCTCTCCTCCTGCGCTGACGGGTTTGGTGGACAGCTATGAGTGACGGGATTAAATTAGGATTTTGATTTTGAAGTTTTTCATTTGTTCGATTCTAGGTGATGTTTCTGGAGTAATAAACTGAGAATACGCTAGTTGTTAATCTTCTGATTTACATAGATTTAACGCATGATAGTTAAACTTATGAAGTGGCGATTGTAACATTACGTTCTTCTCACGTGCTCATTTCTTTGGTCTGTCAGTTCACACCACCCGTTCTGTGTCGCCAATTCCCCTTTTTCTCCTACATGGTACGCTGGTCAGGTTTGCTTGAGGGGTGCGAATCCTCGCGTAGTTTGTTTTTTTATGCACAACCTTTGCGTGGAAAGTCACGTATGCCACTTTCAGCGTTTGTGTGCGTACGCAACGGTTTCATAGAATGGACCTGACCTTTTCGGTACCGTTTTCGCATACTTCCAACTCTTGTATAGCAGGCCCTCATATGATTTTAATTGAAGGCTCCTCACACTACATTCAAGTGCTTTTTTGGATACTCAAGATTTGATCCTTCTATAACTTGTCCCTTACCATTTCGCGTCCTGTTGTGCTCCATGCACTCATATGTTTTGGATATGTTTCCTTATGTTGACATTTAAGTTGATACCAGTGTCTTTATTATATTAATCATCTAAAGTTATTTTTAAGATGTTTAGAGCTCACTTTGATCTTTATATTCTCGTCCTACTCTATGCTAACATTCAACTATATGATAACAAAAGAGGTTTACGTTTCAGACATTGAACACCCTATCAAGTGTGTGAGCGACTGCTCGCTCTCCTTCTTGAACTGGTGGTTTTTGGTCGTAGTGTTATTGTGGACCAGTATCTTGGATTACACCTGTTTGTTGAGTCAATAGTAATGTTTTAATAATTTGGTCTTCCTTGTATATGTGTATCAATTCTTCTATGAGAGTAAATCCTCTGGGTCTGGTTAATGGTGTGAATTTCGTATATTATAGTATAGTAGGATTTGTAACCTTTTCTTATCTAGTTTGAACATGGCGCAGACA